TCTTTCATTTTTAATCCAAATGGAGAAATCAAGCAAGTGCAACCCGACCTTCTCCCGCACACACCAATTTGTGATTCATTTTTAATCTCCTTCGTAAACATTTAGCCGGATAGCTTTCCAAGTGTGTCTCCGACAAAAACATCACGCCTGCGTTGCATGCTCGCTAGACATCCAACAACGCCCGAAATGTTGCAGCGTTTTCGAGCCCGTTACAATTCCAGCTTAAAACTTTCATGATGATTGGACAACCTCCGACGAGAAGGCCGTGAATCTGGTGATCGACGAAACCGTCGAAAAAACTCTCAGCCGGCGACTCGGCGTAGACGCCAGAAGACAACAAATCACAACTTTGCAGCGGTGATTCACAAAGAGAACTCGGGATCAGCGTAGCTGCCGGAGGACACAAACCCTGACTTTCTTAGTCAGGGGACGGGAACCTGAAGAGGGGGCACCTCGTTAGGGCATCAAGCCAGCCTCACGAGGAGGTCACACAGCTAGCGGCTGTGGCAGCGACGCACCAACCCTAGATTGACAGAAATATCGCCTCTGCGAGAAATGCTACTTCGGAAAGATACTTCGAAATGTGTGAGATCGATGTTGACTTCATGGATGACAGGGATGCAGAGTTCTATGGTTGTTTCTCCCCTCATGCAACAACCTCTTCGTCGATGTTTGTCTGCCCTTCCCTCTGTGGACAAGGTCTATCATTACTCTAGCACTGGTGTTATCATGCATTACATTGCTGCCACACACTCGTCAAAATTTGGCATGTGGTTCTTGTAGCCGAGGTTGTTGTGGCCAGATTGTCAGTGTCAGACCTCAGGGTCGTATTTGCCATCAAGCTTAATGATTTTCTCACAAACTTGAAACTTGTTTCCTAGCATTAGCAAGACGATCAAACGTCTCTTAAGGGAAAACGCTCTCAACCCGGCATCCAAATGGAGAAATCAAGCAAGTGCAAGAGCAATAAGTGTGGTGATAAAGGGTGGCGCAGGTGGTTCCATGATGCACCTCTTTGAGATGCAAACGGGGGCTCATTTGTGTCAGTTGTCAGAATCCAGATCGGCCAGGCAACGAAAGAATGCAACTACTCTTATGAGAGAACAATTCGAGCAGAAAAGACTTGGTGGCCCCACAGTAAGAACATATAACTGATATGAGAGCAAAGATTGCACATGAATTCTCAATGTATATAGTCTGTAGATTGTGCAGTACGGTCATTTCACAGAAGCCTATTGCTGGGAACCTAAGGGTCAAAAATCTCCAACAACCAAGTGAACATTATTACAACAACGTTTCAGCTTGTTTTAGATAAACAAAGAATCATGGACGCCCAAATGCCCATGCTATCTAAAGCAGCTGAAATGAGACAACCGCAAGTACACCAAAAAAGCCTGAACGCTCGAGGAGCGAATCTGTAGGTCCCGAACACTTGAACCGAGACCATATGGTAAACCTGCACTTATAACGAACTGAGGAGACATCTGTAGTCCTCTCACAGTAATTGCTGTGAGCATATCTACTCTCCTACAGTCATTCCAAAACCAAACTTGTAGTTCTTCTTCGGATGGTCAATCTGTGTCACAAAACACAAGTTCAGAAGATGGTAATCCAAAATATCAGGACATTCATTGCTGGGAGGAAGGAAACATTTTTATCAGAAATGGCATAAAGTGCAGCTCATATTTCATCGGAACTGTCATACTACAGCTCATACCTCTGCAGACAGAAGAAAGTTGACACCCATGTTCAATCTCTCCTCCAAGTATGCAGCAACGACACCATTTGAGTCAACTTTGCCCCTTAGACGACACTGTAATGGAATGCAATAAGAAACTTAAGCTAACAAAAAGAAATTTCAGAAAAAAAAGGCAGCACACCGGTGAGAGTACATGGTTTTATACTGTTGGTACATATATATCCATTGGCAGCAACAAGACCATGCAGATAAAGAACCCAGTTAAGGCTAATTAATGCAAGACGTTTTTGCAGTTTGATTTGAAATGAAAAATGTCTTATATTTAGGGACAGAGGTAGTAATATAGAATGTCAAATACTCAAATGTGTTGTAAGGGACACTGACCTGCCTAAGGATATAATCGTAACCAACGCTGGAAGTCACATCTCTGGACATGTGGTTATACATAAAGTCAGTAGCAAGAGACACCTGCACTTCGGTATACTTACAGTTAGAACCTGGTTAAAATAGCATGCAAATAATTCATGTTCATAATAGTAGTGTCTAACCTTTTCAGAAACTTTCTGGACATAACTTAACGCAACAATACCAGTGCTAGCAACCTGTAGAGTACCCACCTGCAATGGTCGTAAAAGATAATGTTCAGCCTCAGTCGTACAGTAGCTTCATTTGCTATGTATCAGCTTGCATTCTCATAGTAAATCAATTCTCTACACGTAGCATGAGTGAATATTCAAGTCATGTGAGCAAATAGTGACTGATTAAGGAAAAAACTCTGCTCTCTCTTAGTTCTTCTCGATACCGTAAGATGTGTATGGGGATAGCCTGTCTTAATTTCCCTTAAACATAGACTATTAAACCACAATCTGAACGGAAAATTTGACGAACTGGCACATTTTTCTTTGTGCTTTGTCGCAAAAGCCACACCTTGTGTCATTGACAGGTGGCCCCAGACCCCACATGCAAGCGACATAAAGGAATAGCATTTTCTTTGTCAAAGCCAAACAAAAAAGTGAGGGTTTTCCAAATCCCTCCCCAAATTAATCCTTTATACCAACAATAAATGGATGGGCTTGTAAACTTAAGTATGTCACATGCGGAAGTTCAACCTACATGCCATCCAGACAGCAAAGACTTACGAAGTTCCTTACCATCTTATCTGTATTGTAGCGAGAATTAAATCCAATTCCTGACTTCCTTTGCTGACCAAGCCAGAATATCTCTGTTCCCATCGACAAATTTGGCGTAACACTCTGGAACACCGAAAAATTGTTAACCCGTTGTCAACACAAAGAGTAGATAAAAAACATGTATTTGCCCACTTCATCACAAACCAACTCTCATATGCGCAGCAAGGTTATTTAGTAATTAATGTAAATGTGTTTGCCACTAACAAAGTTTTGAGCTGATTCTAAGCATAAGTTGAGTCCATTGAAAAATGTAAACATCACTGCTACAAATTATTGCTGTGATCCTAACAGAAAGCAAATAAATGCACAAATCTTACAGTGAAAAGCTGAAACTGTAAACATCACTTGTACAAACTATTGATGTATTTCCATCAGATATCAGATATAGCAACAAAATGCATAAATCTTACAGTGGCCAAGTTATTTTTAAATTGTAAACAAACTTAATACTGCAATATTCTATAGCCTGTTATACACAAGTGTAGTTTGTTTCAAGTCAAAACATTAAACAAGTTCAAGGTTCAACAGAACCAAAACTGCAAAATATGCTGGGCCTTAAGCATAGCCACAACACTAACCAGATAGCACGTGGTGAGGGAACATGATATAAAAGAAGCTCAAAAGACAGCAAAGGGCAAAAACTGAATATAAAGACATTAACAGAAATTCCTGAACTCCTGTGCAGAATTTAAGCAGTCAAGGAACAAATAGACAACTACAGAGAAGCCTGAATATACTTGTATTCCCTTTTTGTTTCCCTTGGGTGATGCAGGTAGAGTATGACGACGAAACTAGGAAATAATGATCTTTACCTGGATATAATTTGCCCCATAGAACGCATTGTTTCCAATTTGAAACTGTGCTCGATAGTCGGTGCCCTATATAAAAGTGTAAAATGTTAACAGAAGGTAGTAGTCGGGTAGAAGCACACACTAAGAGAAAATTTAAGCATTGTTATAAGTAACTGACAGCTAATGTAGCTGAACAGATATGCTTGGAACACAGATATAGCTTACCTTGTAGTCAAAGTTGAACATCCCTTGAGAGTAATGAGGCTCACTAGTAAGCTGGAAAACAGGAAACCATCAGCAAAAAAAGAGTAAAATAGAAGTCACCAAACAAAAAATATATCAAATTCAACTACCTGCGCATTTATTTTCAGCGCGAGATTCTCTGTCAGATCAAATTTCACACGAGCATTCAGCCTTCCATCAGTCATCAACCTTCCGATAAGCATTAACTAAGGAAAATTCCATACACAGTTAAAAACAGAGTTCATAAATACAAGATGCCACAGAATTATATCAAATGTGAAGAGAACAAACCTTTGGATCTAAAAAATTGGCACCAAATTCATACTGTGATGTTGGGACTTTTATAACATCAGCTGACTGAGACGGAACTTCCAGGGAGCCCATAAGGACACTGTTAAGATGTCAGTAATAAGTTATCGGCATACATCATAAATAAGACAAACAAGAAGTATCACCAACATTTTGCATTTTGTCTCACCTATGGCTAAGAGCGAACTTCTGGGTTAACATCTTTGTGAAGTCAAACCTCAAACCTTCAAAAAGTTCAGGCTTCAGAGACACTGCAAATTGAGCATGTCAGTAAATCCCATGAAAGAAAGCTCAAGAGCCAAACTGCATATACAGCAAGCAGGTAGCCAGGTAGGTAAACACCAAATGAGCAAAGCAAACAATTAAATTCTCTTACAAGTTTAAAATTGCATATTTAGTTATGTAAATATTCTAAGAATTATGAAGGCCTAAATAAAGCCCACGATGACCATAATGTCACATCAAATGCATCTCTCTTGTCAATTAGTAAGGTGTAACTGAGGATTGGAAATCTTACGGTATTGAATTTGTTCACAGCTGTATTATTACTAGATTTCTCACAGAAATATTTTCATAATCTCACCATTTGCAGTTTTTTACCAACCTGTCCTAAAAACTATCTGTCAAAGTTGAAAGTCTGAGACAGGCCATGTCCACATAGGGTCATAACAAAAGGAATAAATTGTGGATAGTGGAGGTATGAATGATTGAGATATTGGTTCATTTCCTAAATCATAACACTGTTCCACTACCTAACGATAATATCTAGAGAAGTACAGTAAAAAGATCATGTTAAGCACCGTATGATCCCTTTGTTAGCTCTTAAGTTATGTATGATATATGTCAACATGACTAGGTTGCTCTGCTTAAGGATCCTTTTACAAGAGAAGTGGTATACTTTGGTGTAAGTTCTGGAGAACATCGACATCTTATATTTCTATACAACTGTCGCATCAAAGTAGTGCTTTGGTGCTCTCCTAATCTCAGATGGACTAAACTTGGCTACTCTGTAGCTTTTGATCCTAACAGCACATCACAAAAACATTTACAGACTACAGGAACCTCATAATAATCCACGTCAAGCAACCAAATCGCTACCAAGGAAAGGATTATGGCACAACTTCATTACCAACCACAAGAGCACACACATATACATCAACTGGCAGTTTAGCAATGCTGCAGCAATTAACACACAATGGCAGTTTAAAATAAATAAAACTAAAAAAAGAGAGGGGAAGGGGACGAACTGAGGGCCTCGCGCTGGATCTCCTCGTACGGCACGGGGCAGGGGAGGTTGAGGTAGTCCACCTTCTCCTCCTTCTTATCATCCCCATCCGGCTTCTGAGGGAGGATGCCGGCGAGCCCAGCCCCATACGGCGGCGGGGCCCCGTGTGGTTGCGCTGGAGAAGGCGGTGGCGGCGCTGCGTCGGAGGCGGCGGAGGCGGCGGATCCCATGGCGGCGAAACCCTAGGTTAGGGGTTATGGGGTGGGCTTTTGCCTTTGGGAGGTTCTCGTCTTCCCACCACGCGACGCTGAGGAGGTGGATCTGTTTCGGGGGGCCACCTGACTTTGCTCTTGGTTTCTACTAGTACTGCAGATCGGCGGGCTCTCCTGAGTTCTTCGGAGGTGTCCTTTTTTCTGCGTTTTTTTCTGAGATCCCAAAGACCGACCGGTAGTTTCTCTCTCTCTAAAAAAAAGACCCACCACTGTTAAAAAAGTAAGAATCAGAATCAGGGATTATATATATTCATTCATCAGGGTAACAATCTTATGGAAGGCTAGGATTTTTCCCTTTTCTCTGTTAGGCCTTGTTCGGTTGAGGTGGTTTTTAAAGGGAATGGCAGGGTTTGAGGGGGATTAGATCCCCTACAAGCCAAAATTCTCTCCAATCCACTTCAATCCCCTTGGAAGGAGGATTAAACGAGTAAGGCTTTAAGAATGTTGTTCCTCTCCATCTCGAACCGTCGTCGAAGCACAAAAGGATGGAGAGGACCCGCCGCTAGGGTTTCTCCCTCTTATGCATTATAAGGTTGTTGTTCACCGCCCTCTAAGTGTAAGAAGATGGAGAGAAACTTGGTTGTTCGTACGATAGGTATTTATTTTGTTGGCGGTGACGCTGATGTGACAGTGACATCATGGGATGGAATAAGTCCCTTCGCCTCCCTCCCCATCTTAATGGTGTTCGTTTCAACCACAAACATTCATATGAAAATAGTAATTCCATGTGAATTTGTAAGCATTTTAGATTTGAAAAAAAACTGGGATATGATACAAAGTGGACAGGATAAAAACAGGCAAAACAATGAACGCATTAGCGATAAAAACATTTCTTGATGTGTGTTACCTACAGAGAAAGGGAATGGTCATTCAAACATGATGAAAATGTCATCCAATGGATAATAAAAATACCATCATGAACACTAAAAAATGCCATACAGTGAACACTAAAAATGCCATCATGAACACTTTGCCATACAAAACACAATGAAATGGGCATCTAATGAAAGATGACAATCATAAAAAGGGAATTCAAACCGGAAGCAAAAAAAGGCCATCTAGCATATATTAGAAACTAGAGGATACCCCGTGCGTTGCTGCGTGAATTGGTTGATGAAAATTTGTGTTGATAACATATAAACCAAAACTAAAAATGCATAGTACTTATTAATATTTGATTATGTATAGTTGTAACAATATTATTTTAATATAAGTAGAATAATTAAATGGAAAATATTTTCTCATGAATAGTTGAATGTTGTGATGGGTCTTCTCTCATGCATAATTGCATGTTGAGGTGGAACTTATCCCATCCATATATGTATGATGAGGTGGCATGCTTGCGTGTTGAGATAAATAAGTTAGTGAGGATAACTCCCCTAGGTATATAGGATATAGGATTTCATAATGAACAAGAGAAAATGCAAGGCAATAAGAGAATGATAATTTTCCTATACTAAAAACAGTGTGAAAATTGCCATATTGGCATGATAAAAAATGACATCCAAGTCACATGAAAAATGCCATCCAGGTTGTATGAAAAACTCCATCTAGTGAACTAACCTGCAACTTGCTAAAAGACCCATCGGCCTTCCTTTCTGTCGCGAGAACAGCTTTGATGGCCTCATGAGACCAAGTTGCTACAGCGAACGTGTGAGCAGGCGACCGGCTACCAACCCCGATGAATTTGAAATTGTTGATGTCAAGCCTATAAACATACATAAGTTGTAGAAAAGGGGATAAAGAGGAGCTACAAAAGGCGACGTAGGGGGCAAAAAGGGTTGTGCATTGATCAAAAGCAAAAAAAATGGATAAAAGCAGTTAAGCTTGCATCATGAAGATTCATTAAGTAGGTGAAGACAACAACCCTTATTGTATCTCTTTTTGGCAAAACCACCATGAAGACACCGAGCAATGAACTTGCAACAGTTCATGTTCGTGATGACCCACGGGTTTAGGGATCAATCGTAGTCCTTTCGATAAGTAAGAATGTCGAACCCAACGAGGAGCAAAAGGAATTGACAAGTAGTTTTCAGCAAGGTTTCGCTGCAAGTGTTGTAAAGATAGTTTTGATAGCAAGATAATTCATAACAAGGTAACAAGTAACAAAGAAATAGGTGCAGCAAGTGGCCCAATCCTTAAGAATGCTAAGGACAAGCCGAGGTGTTTCTTATAATATCTAAAACACTCTTGAGGGCACACGGGAATCTCGCCAAGTTACTTTCATCATGATTCATTAATTTACCGTTCATTGATTAGGTAAGTGTTGTGTGGGTGGACCGGAGCTAAGGTATTGTCCTAACTTGAACAAATACCTACTTATGATTATACTCTCCATGCGACCATCCACAATTACAATAGAAGTAACTAAGATAAATCTAACCATAGCATTAAACAGTTGGATACAAAACAACCCCACACGGAACAATTCATAAACTGGGGTTTGAGTTTCTATCACTCCCGCAACCCATAGTCTACAAACTAATTCCACAATACCTTCCCTAGGCACAAAGAACTAGGGTTTGGAGATGAGATGGTGCTGGTGAAGATGTTGATGAAGATGATGGTCCCTGGTAACCCACAAGTATAGGGGATCAATTGTAGTCTTTTTGATAAGTAAGAGTGTCAAACCCAACGAGGAGCAGAAGGAATTGATAAGCGGTTTCAGCAAGATATTCTCTACAAGTGATGTAAAAGAGTAGTGACACAGTTTGATAGCAAGATAATTCGTAGCAAGTAACAAGTAACCAAAGGCTTCCTTGCTCACCCCCACCTGGTCCTTTGGGACCCTGTGTAGCGTGAAGGCGGTGACAGGGGCTGGATTCGTCATGGGTGTGGGCTTAGATGTCGGGGTTGTGGCCACAAACTCAGAACCAGCCTGAGCCAGAGGACTCGGACCCGCAGGCTTCGCATCAGCTTTGGCGGGAGAGGTGCGGCTTGCTCGGCTCGGCGAAGCATCCCGCATGTTATGTCAGTGCTAATCGGCACCCTTGTGTCAGCCTGTGGGTTTGGCGGGTCGGCCTTGTCTTCGTCGTCAAGATGGATCATATCGGTTGGTGATGTGTTCATATGAGTGGCGGAAACGTTAGTCTGCAAATCATTCAAACAAGATTCAGAGAATAAACCGGCCAGTAACTTTGCAAGTGGCAGAATCTGTGATGTTGACTTCAGTCTGGCCCTTCCCGTGGCATTCGGATCCAGCGAAGTTGTCAACGTTTCGTTGCTGCAGTCATAAAATCACTCGACGATCAGTCAATACAAATTTATACAAAGAAGAAATTTGGTCTTTGATACTTACATCGAAGCCATCAACACGGCCACCTTGATCTTCGGCAGGACAACCTTCCGGGGCTTGGTGGAAATGTGCTTGGGCTACTTCTCAACCGACTCGGTGGACTCAGCTCGCCCGCGCATCGTACTGCGCATGGCGGGGGCTGGAGCAACTGTCTTCGGTCCACTTGGCGCCCGAGCGCCTCCCGCGCAACCACTTAGATTGTGATGTGCCTTGGTGTAGTCCTCCCGGGGAACATTCTCGGATGGGGAGGATTCCACTTCCTCTTCCTCCTCGGTGCTCTCTTCCTCCCCATCGCTCTTTTCCTCCTCGCTTTCCTTGGCGTACACCCATTCGGTGTCGCTCGCCACGTCATCAGGAGACTGGTCGACCACCGACACCTAGAAGATCATCTACTGAAAGCTCTGCTGAAGAACAAAGAAAAAAAGATCACAAGTTCAAGATCCAAACTTGCAGAAAGGAACATTGGGGCAGTTCGACTGATCAAGCATAAAATTACCTCGACTGGCGGGCGGGCCTTATCGTGCGGGGGCACTCTCCTAGCTTCGTGTGGGTTGTCACGAGCCGAAGTGATGTTCTTGATCTTGCCTTCCACGGCCTTCTCGACCAGCTCCTCCTCGTGCACCCGAGTAAGATCACTCAGGCCCTCATACAACCACATCGGGTGCGTCCTTTCCTGCAGCGGCTGGATCCGCCGACTAAGGAAGACCTCCAATAGATCCATGTCGTTCAAACCTGCCCTCGCGAAGCCCACCAGCGTGTCAGCCAAGATCCCCACTTCCACCTTCTCCTCCTTTGCCACCTTAAGGGAACTGGACCCCCTACCCTCTCTGCCGAGTATGGTGGACGGCCCAACTAAGAGCCAGCCCTCGGGATGTCCTGTCAGTAGAACCAGCTATCCTGCCATCCTTTGACGAAGTCGGGGAAGCTCATATTCGGGAAGGCACTTTGCCCCCTGAGCTGAATCCCCAATCCGCGCGCACTGCTGCGTCACGTGGGCCTTCTCCTTGCCGAGTGTGTCCTTCTTCACGTTCATTGACCAACACATGAAAATGTACTTAAACAACCCCCAGTGGGGATAGCAGCCAATAAAGTTCTTGAAGAGCGAGAAGAAAGCAGATAAATAAACGATTGCATTTGGCAGAAGGTGGTGGAATTGTGCGCCAAAAAATCCAGGAAAGCACGGAAGAAGGGATAGGGCGGCATGGAGAAACCTCTCTTGATGTGGGTGACGAGGAGGATGCGCTCGTCCGCCTACGGCGGGGGCTCCAGATCGCCCACCTTCGGCAACCTCCAACAGCCCGCCGGAATCAAGTCCTCCGCCTCCAGCTCCAACAGTCGCTTCTGCGTAACATGAGAGGGGGTCCAATCGCCAAAGTTCGGCCCGCGATGTCGAACCCTTCCCCGTCTTCTTCGCTCGCTCCAGCTTTTCCATCATGTCCTTCCCCATCCTCTTGAAGCACTCGGGTGTGCAGAGTGGTGGTGGGAGCGATGGGGCGGGTAGAGTGGGCAGAAATGAAAAGGGGATCTGGGGGAATTACCCTAGAACACCTTCTTTTATACCATAGGTAAATCCGCCCGACGGATCCACAACCGTCGATTTTGAGATCCAACGGTGTCCGGGCGAACTGCCGCCCAGAGGAAAGAGAGCATGTGGCGGATTTCT